AGTTCAAGACCAGCCTAGACAACATGACAAGACTCCCTCTGTACAATTTTTTTTTTTTTTTGAAAACAAACTGAGCGTGGTGGTACACACCTGTTGTCCTAACTACATGGGAGGCTAGGCAAGAGGATCACTTGAGCCCAGGAGTTGGAGGGTGCAGTGAGCTGTGATTGTGCCACTGTACTCTAGCCTGAGCGACAGAGTGAGACCCCATCTCTAAAATAAATAAATAAAAAATACTGAATGGAAATAGACCAAGAAGTTGACAGTGGTTTTCCCTGGATGGTGGAATTATAACATGCTTGAGCTTTTTTTTTTCTTTTTTCTTTTTTCTTTTTTTTTTTTTGAGACAGGGTCTCATTTATTATCCAGGCTGGAGGGCAGTGGAACAATCTTGGCTCACTGTAGCCTCAACCTCCTGGGTTCAAGTAATCCTCCTGCCTCAGCTCCTCAAGTAGCTGGGATGACAGGCACACACCACTATGCCCAGCTAATTTTTGTATTTTTTTGTAGAAATGGGGTTTTGCCATGTTGCCCAGACTGGTCTCCAACTCCTGGGCTCAAGTGATCCATCTGCCTCAATCTCTCAAAAGTGCTGGGATTACAGATGTGAGCTACCGTGCCTGGTTGAACTTTTTGTTCTTCACTATGGTATCCAGATTCCTCCAGAGTATATGTGTTGCTGTTACAATACATGAAAAAAATTATAATGAAGTTATTAAAATAATAGCTAATTTTTAAAGGGTTCATAGAGGCTCTTCTGTTTTCATGAGATGTAAACAGAAACTGATTTTTTTGAGACAGGATCTCATTCTGACGCCCAAGCTGGAGTGCAGTGGGGCGATCATAGCTTACTGCAGCCTTGATCTCCCAAGGCTCAGGTGATCCTCCCACCTCAGCCTCCCATGTAGCTGGGACCACAGGTACACACCACCACACCCAGCTAGTTTTTTATCTTTTGCAGAGATGGGGGTTCCCCCATGTTTCCCATGCCGGTCTCAAACTCCTTGGTTCAAACGATCCTCCCACCTTGGCCTCCTAAAGTGTTGGAATTATAGGCATGAACCACTGCATTTGGCCTAAGAAACTTTTTTGTTCTAATAATATTTGATTTCCATTTCTTATAGTTTTATTAAGATATATTTCACATACTAGCTGGGCAAAGTGTTACATGCCTGTAGTTCCAGCTATTCAGGAAGCTGAGACAGGAGGATTCCTTGAACCCAAGAACTTGAGTCTAGTGTGGACAACATAGCAAGACTCCAATTTCTTAAAACAAGAAAAAGATATATTTTACATACTTTTTTTTTTTTTAAATTTTTGAGACAGGGTCTCGCTTTGTCACTGTAATTTTATCTATTTTATTTCTGTTACTTTTTTGTTTATTAAGACAGGTGTCAGCTGGGCATGGTGGCTCACACCCCTAATCCCAGCACTTTGGGAGGCCAAGGCAGGCAGATTACAAGGTCAGGAGATCGAGATCATCCTGGCTAACACGGTGAAACCCCGTCTCTACTAAAAATACAAAAAAAATTAGCTGGGCATGGTGGCGGGTGCCTGTAGTCCCAGCTACTTGGGAGGCTAAGGCAGGAGAATGACATGAACCCGGGAGGTGGAGCTTGCAGTGAGCCGAGATTGTGCCACTACACTCCAGCCTGGGTGACAGAGCGAGACTCCGTCTCAAAAAAAAGAAAGACAGGTGTCTTACTCTGTCACCCAGGATGGAGTGCAGTGGCACAAACACAGCTTGCTGCAGCCTAACCTCCTGGACTTGAACAATCCTCTCACCTCAGTCCTGAGTAGCTGGAGTTATAGGCAGGTGCCACCATGCACAGCTGATGTTTTTGCATTTTTTGTAGAAATGGGGTTTCACCATTTGCCCAGGATAATCTCGAGCTCCTGATCTCAAATGATCTGCCTTTCTTGGCCTCCAAAAGTGCTGGGATTATAGGCTTGAGCCACTGTGCCCAGCCTACATACTATTTATTTATTGATTCATTTAGTTTTGTTTGTTTGAGATGGAGTTTTGCTCTTATTGCCCAGGCTGGAGTGCAATAGCATGATCTTAGCTCAGTGCAACCTCTACCTCCTGGGTTCAAGTGATTCTCCTGCCTCAGCCTTCCAAGTGGCTGAGATTATAGGCATTCGCCACCACACCTAGCTAATTTTTTTTTTTTTTTTTTTGAGACGGAGTCTCGCTCTGTCTCCCAGGCTGGAGTGCGGTGGCGCGATCTCCACTCACTGCAAGCTCCGCCTCCCGGGTTCATGCCATTCTCCTGCCTCAGCCTCCCTGTGGCTGGGACTACAGGCGCCCACCACCACGCCCGGCTAATTTTTGTATTTTTAGTAGAGACGGGGTTTCACCGTGTTAGTCAGGATGGTCTCGATCTCCTGACCTCGTGATCCGCCCATCTCGGCCTCCCAAAGTGCTGGGATTACAGGCTTGAGCCACCGCGCCCGGCCTTTTTTTTTTTTTTTTTGAGACGGAGGCTTGCTCCTTTCCCAGGCTGGAGTGCAGTGGCTTGATCTCGGCTCACTGCATCTTCTGCCTCCCAGGTTCAAGCGAGTCTCCTGCCACTGTCTCCCTGGTAGCTGGAATTATAAGCACATGCCACAACGCCCGCCTATTTTTTGTAATTTTTAGTAGAGACAGGGTTTCACTGTGTTGGCTAGGCTGGTCTGGAACTCCCAACCTCAGGTGAATTCGCCTACCTTGGCCTCCCAGAATGCTGGGATTACAGTTGTGAGCCACTGCACCCAGCCCTAATTTTGTATTTTTAGTAGAGACAGGGTTTCACTGTGTTTGTCAGACTGGTCTCGAACTCGACCTCAGGTGATCCACCCACCTTGGCATCCCAAAGTGTTGAGATTACAGGCCTGAGCCACCGTGCCTGGCACAGCCTACATACTTAAATTTACCCATTAGAGTATACAGCTTAGTGGTTTTTAGTAAATTCAAAAAATTGAACAGTTACCACAATCTTAATTTTAGAACTTTAAAAATACCCCTAAAAAGAAAAATTTCTTGTAATTCTGTTCATATATTTTAGTGGTATGAATCCTTTTATAAATCTTACGACATTTTCAGGGTGAACCTAGCACTGTGAGTTATGAAGGCATATAAGACATAGTTCTTGACTTCAAGTAACTGATAGACTAATAGGGAAGAGAAGGAAATATAAATATCTTTACAACAAGACAGTGTGAAGGTCAAGTTTCATACCAGTGATATAAGCTAAATATCACAGGTTTGCTGAGGAAGTGAAGAATCATCTATGTTTGGAATGATGAGAACAGGCCTCATGGAAGTAGGGAGATGGAATTTTCTAGACAGAAAAGATGTAGAATTACATTATTCTTTGTATAGGCACTTTTCAGTCTATAATGAACATTTCCCTTTTGCCCATTGGGAATTATGCATACTTTTTTTTTTTTTTTTTTTTTTGAGACGGAATCTCACTCTGTCTCCAGGCTGGAGTGCAGTGGCGTGATCTCAGCTCTCTGCAACCTCCGCCTCCTGGGTTCAAGCGATTCTTCTGCCTCAGCCTCCCGAGTAGCCTGGACTATAGGCCTGTGCACCTCCACGCCCAGCTAATTTTTGTATTTTTAGTAGAGATGGGGTTTCACCATGTTGGCCAGGATGTTCTCGATCTCTTGACCTCGTGACACGCCCACCTTGGCCTCACAAAGTGCTAGGATTACAGGCGTGAGCCACTGCACCTGGCCTATGCATACTTTTATACAAATATTTTATCAACAGATCTACCTTCGTTCAGATAATTATGGTCTGCAACGTTTAATAGACATACCACAGTATGGGGATGACAAAATAAATAGCTTGTAATTTAACAATTACACTGAGATCTCTCCTGCTTGTTTTTTAGTTGATTTATATTACAAGGAAAAGTCAAAGTCTTTCTATATTCTTGTCACCTAATGCAGGGTATTTCTCAATTCCCCCACTGTTATTCTAGCCTCTGTAACTCCTCCTTTCTCTCCCCTTGCCATTCTGGGATGTGTGTAATTGTAGTAGGTCATTACCCAGAATTATGTGCCATGTGTGACAGTCTGCAGAGATAGGATGTTGCAACACTATCACCACATGGCCCACAGAGTAGAAAGTCATTCTTCAATTTTTATGATACCCTAATTTCTATTTTAAAAAGCCTTTAAAAATCAGTGTTTGGATTTTTATGGTATTACATCCCAGAAAAATGATCTTCTAATGAATATAAGTGCAGAGTAGTAATTTTTTTGTATGGATTGTAATGTTTCCTATAGGTGACTCAGATGGTCTAATTCCCCCCTTTCTCATTGCTTTTGAAATTGAAAACACTTCTGGCATTGTTTTTAGGACACAGATTCTAAAAAAAAGCAGGTAGACGGATCACTTGAGTATATCAAGGAATACCTGCATCCAATGAAGATGCTACTTATGTTGATTTTCTAGAGTGGGAATAATCTGTGAGCTCCAGCTGTGTATTTCTGTGACTCTCCTTTTGACTGCTGTACTTTCAGAGTCACTGAATTCAGCCATGCAATGGAATTAATGTGACTGACTTAGGGTGAGAATCCTAATAAAGTGATGACCTGAGATTGGAAACCCACATAACAGTTTTATCTTTTTTATTCTGAAAATCATAATTTGTCCATTTTATTTCTGTATTATTGATGGATTGATTGAGACAGGTCTCACTCTGTCACCCAGGCTGGAGTGCAGTGGTGCAACCACAGTGCACTGCAGCCTTGACCTCCCTGGGCTCAGGTGATCCTCCCACCTCAGCTTCCCAAGTGCCTGGAAACCACAGATGCACCACTACACCTGGGTAACTTTTTAATATTTTTTTATATAGAGACAGGGTTTTGCTGTGTTGCCCAGGCTGGTCTTGAACTCCTGGGCTCAAATGATCAGCCTACCTCTGCCTCCCCATGTGCTAGGATTACTGGCATGAGCCACTGTGCCTGGCTTAAGTAATTTAAATGATACTATTTGTTTTATTTAGATTGTTTTACAAGGACATGCTGCAAGAGTAACTGCTAAATCTCAGCAGAGTGGAGAGAAGGCATTTCGATGTGAATATGATGGATGTGGAAAATTATATACAACAGCTCATCATCTCAAGGTATATATAAAAGAAATGTTCTATCTGGTTATGAGAATACCTAGGATATTAAATACTAAGATCATATTTTTGTGTAATTCAGATGCCACTGTTTTGTCCCAGTTATCAAGATACTGGGACTTGGTCACACTCATACACAGACATGTAAAAACCTATGCAGACTTTAGAGACTGTTAATTTTTTGAGGGCTTGGACTGTGTTTTTTTCATCTCTGTATTCCTAGTGTCCAGGATACTACCTGGCACATGGTAGGTACTCTATGTATTTGAATATATGTTGTCAAGTATGAAATCCATATAATTATATGAGAGATATGTGTGTAGTCACACATCTCTGTTAATTCACTGAAATCTAGCAAAAGTTGGTATTAATTTGTCTTTTAAATATTTGGGCTAAGGCCGGGTGCAGTGGCTCACGCCTGTAATCCCAATACTTTGGGAGGCCGAGGTGGGTGGATCACCTGAGATCAGGAGTTCGAGACCAGCCTGGCCACATGGTGAAACCCTGTCTCTACTAAAAATACAAAATTAGCCGGGCGCGGTGGCAGGCGCCTGTAATCCTAGCTACTCGGGAGGCTGAGACAGGAGAATTGCTTGAACCCGGGAGGCAGAGGTTGCAGTGAACCAAGATTGCGCCACTGCACTCTAGCCTGGGCAGCAAAAAGCGAAACTCCATCTCAAAAAAATAATAATAAATACATAAATATTTGGGCTAAGTATTATTATTTCACTTGTTGCTATATGTAACAGAATATACCATGACTCAATAATAGCTAAGATTTGTTAAAGAACTTCCAATGTGTCACGAAGTGTGCACTTAGCATATCTGGAATAGTGACCCTAGGGCCCATCTTCACTATTTATCAGTAACCTTGGCATGTTAGTTGACCTCTTAGTACCTCATTTTCCTCATCTATAAAATTGGATCCTAAGAGTTGTCTCCCTCTCAGAGTGGTTGTAAAAATTAAATTAATACCATACACATAAAGTACTAAAAAGAGTGGCCTGATGTGGTAAATGTTCAGTAAATGTTAGCCATTGTCATTGTTACTCATTTGTCACAGCATCCCTCTATGGTAGATACTATTGTGTCCCTACTTTTCAGAGAGGCCTTTGAGGCTTAGAGAAGGCAAGTGCCCATGTCCACACCACTGGGCAGTGGTGGATCCTTGCCTCAGATCCAGGCCCCTCTAGCAGCAGCCTCCACACTCTGAACCTTACGTTGTGTAGCCTCTCCCAGCCCCCTGCTTCTAGTTTCTCATCATGTGTATGTTTCATGCAAACACCTTTGACCACTCGAGAAAGCTCACACCTCAAACGTTCCTGTTCCCTACTTAAAATATTATTAGTAGGTACCTCTTAATATTTAACATTTAGGTCTATATTGAGAACTATTGGGCTATCGTTTTTGTGAAGTTATCTTTTTTATAAGGAAAAAAAAGCATACAACAAAATCATTTAGCAGTGTGGGAAAAAGTAGGTCTGTGTTGCAACCATATTCCTGAGGAATAGGTAAAGGAAATAGAATCATGCCTGCATTTTAATCACAGGTCCATGAGAGGTCACACACAGGAGATCGGCCTTATCAGTGTGAGCATGCAGGCTGTGGGAAGGCATTTGCAACAGGTAAAAGTATGAATTTTGTTTTTTTCTTGGTTCTAATTAGGGGTCAAGTAGAGACAGGCTAGTGGAAGGAACTGACCCCTTGGCTGTGTCTGAATCTGCAGAAGCACATGATCAGTTCTTCAGTCTCTCTCATAACTGCCTTTTGTCCTGCTTGCTCTAGACCCCTCTGTTCTTTCTTCACTGACCTGTCTCTGCCTGCTGTGTTTTTTCCTTCCTTCCTTCCTTCCTGCCTTCCTGCCTTCCTGCCTTCCTGCCTTCCTGCCTTCCTGCCTTCCTGCCTTCCTGCCTTCCTGCCTTCCTGCCTTCCTGCCTCCCTCCCTCCCTCCCTCTCTCCCTTCCCACAGTTTCACTCTGTCGCTCACTCAGGTTGGAGTGCAGTGGCAGGATCTTGGCTCACTGCAACCTCTGCCTCCCAGGTTCAAGCAATTCTAGTGCCTCAGTCTCCCAAGTAGCTGGGATTACAGGCGCGCGACACCATGCCTGGCTAATATTTTGTGTTTTTAGTAGAGATGGGGTTTCACTATGTTGGCCAGGCTGCTCTCAAACTCCTGGTCTCAAGTATTCCATCCGTCTTGGCCTCCCAAAGTGTTGGGATTACAGGTGTGAGCCACTGCACCCGGCCTGCCTGCTGTGTTTGATACTTTTCACTCCTCCACATTCTGTTTATTTTAGCAGGAAAATAAAAGCCAAGCTTTAAAGGCTGCCATAGACTCCAACATCAGGACAGGCCTTAGCAATGGGATGAGACCTCTGCATCCAGCAGGGCCAGGACTGGCACCAGACCTCCTGACTTCCATTCTTCATTCCATGTCTTGATTCTACTTTGAGCTTTTGGAGTATGAGAACATCTGATAAAACTGAAGCACTTGCCAGGCGCGGTGGCTCACACCTGTAATCCCAGCACTTTGGGAGGCTGAGGCGGGTGGATCACAAGGTCAGGAGATCGAGACCATCCTGGCTAACACGGTGAAACCCTGTCTCTACTAAAAATACAAAAAATTAGCCGGGTGTGGTGGTGGGCACCTGTGGTCCCAGCTACTCAGGAGGCTGAGGCAGGAGAATGGCGTAAACCCGGGAGGCGGAGCTTGCGGTGAGCCGAGATCACGCCACTGCACTCCAGCCTGGGTGACAGAGCAAGACTCTGTCTCAAAAAAAAAACAAAAACAAAACAAAACTGAAGCACTTTAGAAAGAAACACACAGCCTCTTCTAGACAGAAATGAAACTATTGAATTTTTAGGATGGCAGTCCTGAGCTGTGATACTTTTGTACATTTTTTTGTTTGTTTGTTTTTGAGATGGAATCTCACTCTGTTGCTGGAGTGCAGTGGCGTGATCTCGGCTGACCGCAACCTCCGCTCCTGGGTTCAAGCGATTCTCCTGTCTCAGCCTCCCAAGTAGCCGGGACTACAGGCATGCACCACCACACCCGGATAATTTTTTGTATTTTTAGTAGAGACGGAGTTTCACCATGTTGGCCAGGCTGGGCTGGAACTCCTTACTTCAGGTGATCCGCCCGCCTTGGTCTCCCAAAGTGCTGGGGGTACAGGTGTTAGCCACCGTGCCTGGCCCTTTTGTACATTTTAAATAGTTATTCAGTGTATTTGCCTAATATTTTATACTTGGTATTGACTATATTTTTCAGTGACTTAATCTCAGTGTGCACGTTTAGAGGAATATTGTGTAATGACATTTCTTTTAATTTTTTCTTAAAGGTTATGGATTAAAAAGTCACGTCAGAACTCATACAGGAGAAAAGCCATATCGGTGTTCAGAAGATAATTGTACTAAATCTTTCAAAACTTCAGGAGATCTACAGAAACACATCAGAACTCATACAGGTACTAGTGGAAACTAGTGTCATATTAGGCCATATTAGGCCAAGAGTGTCATATTAGGCCAGGAATTCTTAAATCTGCAGGGAGGGGACTTGAGGAAGGAGTCTCTGGAAGAGTTTCAGGAAGTCAGTATCAAGGACCTCTCTTAAAACCCTGAAATTCCATATGACTTGCTGTTTGTGCATGTCTGCTGCTTTTCAGGATGAGGTCCCATAGCTCTGTTAGATTCTCAGAAGGGTCTATGTCCCAGAAAGGATTAACAGTGGCCCTAGACCACGAACTCTCTCAGGTTTTAGGAGTTGTCTGGGCAACAAGTTTATTTACCTAGGATTACACATCTAATTAGCAGCCGAGCTGAGACAGAACCTAAGGCACCCAGTTGTTTTCCTGCATTAAGCAGCTGCTAAAGAAAGTGTCTGAACCCCAACAGCCCCACAGAAAGGAAGACTCATTATTTTTTGTGATCATTTCTCTTTAAATTTTATCTTCTTTTCCTAAATAGTACTTTATTCTTATCTCCCCGACCATCTCCTCTCCTCCTTATACTTGATTACTTGTGGAGTTGGTATTAATAAGGTAAATATTTGCTTTGGATTGGAGCTAAAAAAAGTTCAGCAGCTATTGATAAGAGATGCTATTATGAGCTGTTGACTAAATAATGCAGCATTAAGGTAATTTAGTTTGGGATTTTAGTATAGATGTTTTAAACATGGTGTGATAGCTGTGTCCCCATATGTGGAAATATATGAAATAGTTTAGCTAATTTCCATGTAGGATTCTTGCAGCTATTAATGTTTAACCTGCAACTCAAGTGTGACCCCAAATTGGCTTTACTTTACAACATTGAGGAACAGAACTGTAGGTCCCTGCTTCCATCTCATTCATGCACTTTTTATTTATTGTATCAGAGGTGAGTATTTCCAAGCTCCCATAAATTCTACTTGAATTTGCAAATAAAACCAACTTGTTATATAAAAGCTATATCAAACCAATAATCTAGTTCTATAAATATTGATTTAAAAACGTCAGAATTGTGATTTATTTCATTGTATTCATTTGTCAAACCACATGTTCATATAACAGCTTTAAAATCATGATGTTTTCATTGGTATAGAGTGGGATTGAGTAAGGGGCATAAGGACTTCTGTAACAAATACAGAAGATTTCAGTGCAAAAACAAAGCAGGATGTTACGGTATCAGAGTAGTAATACAGTGAAAATTATTCTAGAACAGTTGATTCCCTATCATTAGCATGTCAGAGCTGGGAATACTTTAGAGGTCATCTAGATCCAAGAGAAAAAGACTTGCCTAAGATAAACTCTTTGTTTTCCTTAGGCTGACATAGTGAATAAAACTTACTAAAGATAGGATCAAAGATTCCTGCTCCTTTTAAAATGATTTCATACTTAAGGGGAGAAATCTTTTGGAATGCTTTGCACCAATAGGGAAATCATAATTTCATTTGACCAAAGGAAAAACAACAAACTAGCCAGGCATGGTGGCATGTGCCTGTGGTCTCAGCTACCTGGGAGGCTGAGGTGTGAGGATTGCTTGAGGGTAGGAGTTCGAGGCTGCAGTGTGCAACCGTCGTGCCTGTGAAGAGCCACTCCATTCCAGCCTGAGCAACGCAGTGAGACTCCGTCTGTTAAAAAAATTTAACATCCGGCCGGGCGCGGTGGCTCAAGCCTGTAATCCCAGCACTTTGGGAGGCCGAGACGGGCGGATCACGACGTCAGGAGATCGAGACCATCCCGGCTAACAGGGTGAAACCCCGTCTCTACTAAAAAATACAAAAAAGCTAGCCGGGTGAGGTGGCGGGCGCCTGTAGTCCCAGCTACTCGGGAGGCTGAGGCAGGAGAATGGCGGGAACCCGGGAGGCGGAGCTTGCAGTGAGCCGAGATCCCGCCACTGCACTCCAGCCTGGGCGACAGAGCGAGACTCCGTCTCAAAAAAAAAAAAAAAAAAAAAAAATTTAACATCCTTACTATATATAGATAAATATCTGTATCTGTCTACATAAAGAGATATTTTTTTCCCTTCCCCAGAAGTTGTTTGCCTAATTTGAGCTCTACCTAGAAAAGGGTACATGGGAATCAAAAGCAAAGGCTACTTCTTGCTTGACAATTTAAAGGCCTTTTGTGGTCCAAGATTGTATAAAGCAAATATGAAGGAAAGAAACATAATTGGTAAAGCAGATTTTTTTTTTTTTTTGAGACAGTGTCTCACTTCAGTGCCTAGGCTGGTGTGCAATGGCACAGTCACAGCTCACTACAGCCTTGACTTCTCGTGCTCAGGTGATCCCCCGTCTCACCCTCCCGAGTAGCTGGGACTACCAGTGTGCACCACCACACCCAGCTAAATTTTTGTATTTTTTTTGTAGAGATGGGGTTTCGCCATGTTGCTCAGGCTGGTCTTGAACTCCTGAGCTCAAGTGATCAGCTTGCCTTAGCCTCTCAAAGTGCTGGGATTGCAGGCATGCACTACTGTGCCTGGCCAGACTTTTTATAAACTTAGATAATGAGAGTAGTAGTAGTATGTCCAGCAGGTGTTTTTGACATATGTGCTAGGCGCTATATTTTCTTTCCTTTTTTTTTTTTTTTTTTTTCTGGTTCATTAACACAAGTGTTTCTTGAACACCTACTATTTCCTGACACAGTTAATATTAGGCATTATCTTGTTGAACATTACTTAAAACACCTTTTTTTTTTTTTTCTCTCGAGACAGAGTCTTGCTCTGTCACCCAGGCTGGAGTGCAATGGCACGATCTCGGCTGACTGCAACCTCCGCCTCTTGAGTTCAAGCAATTCTCCCACCTCAGCCTCCTGAGTAACTGGGATTATAGGCACCCACCACCACGCCCGACTAATTTTTTGTATCTTTAGTAGAGACAGGGTTTCACCATGTTGACCAGGCTGGTCAAAACACCATATTTTTAAAGAGCAAAATTTTTTTTCCTGCAAGATATTGTAGAATAAATCAAGTAGGATACAAGCTTTTAGGAAATTCTGGGTTTGTTCTAATTTAATTCATGTTCCTGACTGTACTTTTCTTTTATATTTCTTATGTTTTTCTCTCTGCTTTTCTCAGCTCATTTTTTTGCCTACCTGGATGATTCCATCTTAGAGAACTATGTAATCAGTGATTAGTTTTGAATACCATTCCCAGTTTCTTATGTAAATTTAAGTTTGGAGTGGAAGATGCTGTTTCCCCAACGCCCCCGCCAAAAAAAAAATGCCGAAAGGGAAGTTCAGCACCAGAAGGCTAGAGTCTTGAGCATGATCCTAGGCAGGATTGAAGGATAAGACATTTCAATCTTCTATATATTTTTGCACCATTTAATGTATTACCCTTTATATTTGCAGGAGAAAGGCCCTTTAAGTGTCCCTTCGAAGGCTGCGGTCGGTCCTTTACAACATCAAATATCAGAAAAGTGCATGTTAGGACACACACAGGAGAAAGACCTTATTACTGCACAGAGCCAGGATGTGGGAGGGCATTTGCCAGTGCAACAAATTATAAAAACCACGTGAGGATACACACAGGTAACAATCTCTGATCTTTTGGTCTTTTATCATTCAAGGCTTGTAACTCTTGCCTCTTCCAGAAACCATTTCCAACTAATCTCTTCCTTCCTTTCTATCACTTGGCATGGTGGAAGGAGATTAAGCAACTTAAAAAAGTTTCACCTTAACATTCATACATTCATTTATCCAACAAACAGTTATTGAGTATCTCCTGCCAGCCATCAAACAGAGAGAGAGAGAGAAGACATTGCCAAGGGCAGGCTACTTGGGAAGAGATAGTAGACATCAAGTTGCTGCAGTGTCTCCCATTATATGGACAAGATGCTGTGGGAGCAGAGAGGGGGGCAGTCACTTCTGCAGGAATGGGAGAAGCATTTTGGGAAGGCTTTCTGGGGGAAATTCGGCATACAGACTCAATCCTGAAGTTTACCACATAGGAGAGAAGGGTATTCCTGGCAGGGGAAATGTCATGGGGAAAGGCACAAAGGTATGAAAAAGCATGATACTTAGTGGTTCCATATGACAGGAGCATCAAGTACATGTAGAAGATTTGTACAAGGTGAGTTCTGAGAGGTAGCCAGAGGCCTTGCGTATTGTGCTGTCACAGTTAAGGTACCTCCTAAACCTTTTTTTTTTTTGAGATGGAGTTTTGCTCTTGTTGCCCAGGCTGGAGTGCAATGGCGCAATCTTGGCTCACTGCAACCTCCGCCTCCCAGGTTCAAGTGATTCTCCTGCCTCAGCCTCCCTAGTAGCTGGGATTACAGGCATGTGCCACACGCCCGGCTAATTTTGTATTTTTAGTAGAGACGGGGTTTCTCCATGTTGGTCAGGCTGGTCTCAAACTCCTGACCTTGTGATCCTCCCATCTCGGCCTCCCAAAGTGCTGGGATTACAGGTGTGAGCCACCACACCTGGCCAAAGCATCTTTTTATGTATTTATTAGTCGTGTAATATCTTCTTTGGAGAAATGTCTATTCAAATCCTTTGCCCATTTTAAAAATTGGGTTGTGTCTTTATTACTGAGTTGTGTAACTTTAATTCTGGATCTAAGTCTCTTATTAGATATGAGTTACAGATATTTTCTTTCATTCTGTGGCTGGTTTTTTTTTTTTTTTTCTCTTGATGATATTGTTTGCAGTATAGAAGCTTTTAATTTTAATCCTCCATTTTGTGGATATAGTTTTGGTGGGTGAGAATGGAATGGCAAATGTGAGAGTAAGGCAGAATATGCATTCGTTTTATAAGAAAAATTTTAATTATTGTTTTATTACTGGTATTAAGAGTAAACTTTTGTTAATTCAAAATTAAAATACTTTTTTCTTTAAGACGGAGTCTCGCCCTGTCACCCAATGTGGAGTGCAATGGCATGATCTAGGCTCACTGCAACCTCCGCCTCCTGGGTTCAAGCGATTCTCCTGCCTCAGCCTCCCGAGTAGCTGGGACTACAGGCGCACACCACCACACCCAGCTAATTTTTGTATTTTTAGTAGAGTCGGGGTTTCACCATGTTGGCCAGGATGGTCTCCATCTCCTGACATTGTGATCCACCTACCTTAGCCTCCCAAAGCACTAGGATTACAGGTGTGAGCCACTGTGCCCGGCCAAAATACTTTTTTTTTTTTTTTTTTCTGAGACGGCGTCTCGCTCTGTCACTCAGGCTGGAGTGCAGTGTCGTGACCTCAGCTCACTGCATCCTCTGCCTCCTGGGTTCAAGCAATTCTCCTGCCTCAGCCTCCCAAGTAGCTCGGATTACAGGCCCCTGCCACCACACCTGGCTAATTTTTGTATTTTTAGTAGAGACAGGGTTTCACCATGTTGGCCAGGCTGATCTTGAACTCTGATCTCAGGTGATCCACCCGCCTTGGCCTCCCAAAGTGCTGGGATTATAGGCATGAACCACCACTCCCAGCCCTGATACTCAATTTTTATGTGCTATACATAAACACGTACCTACAAATGAGTTCACTTACTGTTAAATAATTATGGCCAGGCGTGGTGGCTCACACCATTGCACTCCAGCCTAGGTGACAGAGAGAGACTCCGTCTCAAAAAGAAAAGAAAAAAGTAATGGAATACAGACTAATTATCTGAAAGCTAGCCATTCAACACATGTTATGGGCAAATTAGCATTCAATAAGAGAGATGCCTACATTAAGTTTGGCCATACCGATATCTTTGGAACATTTAGGTAGAGCAGTGCTCTCAAATGAGGCTGCATAAATCAGTCTTTAAAATAGACTGATAGACTGATTTTCCAGATCCTGTCTGCAAAGATTCTGACATAATTGGACTGGGGTGAGGCCCAAGCATCAGGATGTATTAAAAGCTCCCCAGGTCTTTTAGTAGACTGTTTGAGAATAATTGGAGTAGAGACAGTCAGTATGCAGTTATAAATGTTGGTCTGACCTAAGAGGTAGTTGTGGGCTGGAAGAAAAGATTGGCTAATGATCAAGTAACTGCTACAATAACTGGTCACAATATCTAGTAGAGTGTAAAGATTCAGCCCTGAGAAATGCAGTCCTTCCGCCCCCCCCCCGCCCCCCGCAAGGCTAGTCAGATGACCCAGTTGAGGCAGGCTATGCAACTAGCCAGTAAGGGAGCTCAAAAGCTCAATCCAAATCCTTTCGCCTCTTGGCTGTGGTTTGGTGCCACCTAGTGGCAGTTTCTGCTCCAGCCTAAATATCACTTGGGCTGATTTTTCCAAGTTGAGATTGGCTGCCCTTTCTCTTGCCCTCACCACATCTCAACAACCATCCACCAAAATAAGAACATTAACCTGCCTGCTTTGAGAATGGGAACTGGGCAGAGGACAGGAAGCAATCGCCAATTACGTTATGTATAAGACTTATGTTCCAGTACATTAGTGTAATATCTTATTATTTTGGGTGGGTTTAGTGTGTTTAGAACCACTGGGAAAGGTGCAGTTACCCAAGGAATGTGTGAAATGAGAATAAATCAGGACATGTATATGTATACACACTTTCATATGTACATTTTAAAAATCTGAATTCACACCAATACCTCCAATTCCATTTCACCACAGGGTTCTTCTTTTTTTTTCTTCCCCCATTCCATATTTGTATTCTCCCTTTTCCACAGCTGGAGCCCTTACTTCCAGCAGCATTTGAAATATTTACTCATTTGCTCAGTGTTTTATTCCAACTAAAATAGTTTCAGAATCTCTTCACCCATACCACTGCAGTAAACAAGCCTACTGCAGATGAGCTGAATATTTGTTTGCAATTCTACCCCTCACCCATACCACTACAGTAAACAAGCCTACTGCAGACAAGCTGAATATTTGTTTGCAATTCTTCCCCTCACCCTCACCACTGAGCCCAAGACTGAGGGCATAAGTCAAATACTGTGTAAATGAGCTACCTTAATTAATTTATTTGTTCCCCCACCCCAACCCCTTCAGTGTAGTTAAAAGTATTCATTTCAACAATTAGGTTAATTTGTTCCAGTTTGCTTTCAGTTTTAGGTCCGTATACCACCACATGTTAGCACTGTCTAGATATTTTGTGATATTAAGTAATATTAATTTTGTTTACATATTTTTTAAGCAGGAACACATCTTTTAGGTATACAGTCTGAAAGAAAAAGAGTGTTACCTGGAACTGTTTCAGAATAATCCTGGTCAGGAAGAAGGGGGAAATGGGTAGTAAATATAAGAAACAATATTGGTCATGAATTGATAGTTGAAGCTGGATGATTGGTACATGGGGTACTATTTCTCTATACTTCTGTGTATATTTGAAATTTTCTGTAATAAAAAGTCCTAAAAATATATGTACTGCCTATAATGTTCTCAAGCTGTTTCATGGGACAAAAATTTAAGTATTTACTTCCCTATGTATTGCCTGCTTGCTCTTAGTAAATACTCAGTAGCTTTTGATTGGATGCAAGAAGTCAGGTTAAGTTAAATGAAACATGTATGTCCTTTCAGATGTATTGACATATCTAACTAGGTTTAATAGACTTTTAAATAAAATCCTTTTTTATTATCTTTATAAAATTCTTAGGAAGCTGCATAAGTTACAGTAATAATAGCATTTATTATTGTCATTATTAATAGAGTATCACTAACAGTATCTAGGTTATCTAATTATGGGAAACAATAAATTACAGTTTCATTAAAGTTAAACTGGGCAACATCTCCATCCTTTTCTCATTCCTTGAGATTAAAGGGAACCTGGTGTTGATGCATGGAGACAGCACTAAGGATGCATACTACCTTTTGAGTCAAGTCAAAACCATAGTTAGGGAATCTTTTCTTGTGTGCTGCCTCATGGTGGGATGAGGAGGGATTTGGCAATTATTTATTTTTAGAGGTATTTTACCCCCTGGGGATGAAGTATGGAATGATTATGCCTACATATATAAAAGTTGAACTTTTTGTTGGTGCTGTTCTTTAGGGGAAAAGCCATATGTTTGTACAGTTCCTGGGTGTGACAAAAGGTTTACAGAATATTCCAGTTTGTACAAACATCATGTTGTCCACACTCATTCCAAACCTTACAACTGTAACCACTGTGGGAAGACATACAAGCAGATCTCCACGCTGGCCATGCACAAACGGACAGCCCACAACGATACTGAGCCCATCGAGGAGGAGCAGGAAGCCTTCTTTGAGCCACCCCCAGGTGAGAGTTTTGTCTGTTATATTTTGTTTCTGAGTTTGAGAATCAACAGTTATGAACATAATTTATGATTCATAGCATTTTCTCAAATCATAATGTGTCAGTCATATAATCACACAAACACAATTCACAGCTGCAGTAAGTGCTATTGAAGAAAAGTATGTGGTGCTCTGGGATGTATAGAAGGGAATGTTAGTCTGGGAGGTCAAGGAAGGAATTTTTAGAGAGATCTGGAGGTTGAATAGAGGTTAACTGGGTGAAGAAGCAGAGGTTGCTGGGAAGGGAAGCAGGAAGCAAAGGCAAGAGAATGTTCCAAATAGAGAGAATGGCACATGCAGAGAGCCAGGAGGTTGGAGAGACCAAAGTAAATTGGAGATACTGGATGAAACCTGGCCAGTAGGGCAGTACTGCCTGGGAAGGTGGTGAAACAAGACTGGAGAGTGAGGCAGGGGCAGCCAGACTGTTTGGGTCCATTAAGGATGTTGGTCTTAATCGTAACAGTAGACAAGTACTCCCAAATAACTCATCATTGATTCAGGTGCTATTAAGTATGTTATTGTAAGAGACAAAATTATTTGTTTCAGTAAACTCTTGGAAAAATATTTTAGAGAATTACATTGAATTATTTCAGGTAAATAAGCATAGGTAAGTAGGTAAAAGGAAGTAGGTTCTTCTAAAACACAAAGCAAGTTGTCTTATAGTTTCACTGAGTACCTCTAAAATGAAGTAAATTTGAAAATTAAGAGATGGCATCTTTTCTCATTTTTAACAACTGATATTGAAGCATTGAAAAACATTTAGGTGGAAAAAGTTTGTTGAAGAATAAGGGAAAGAACAAGTCATCTGCTCAGATGATTCCTTGTAGTCCTGATTTGTCTTTTCAGGTATTTGTTAGGTGATGGTAGGAGAATAGCAATTCCATCAGTCTTCATGGTGATTATTTTCTAGCCAAAACACTGTAAGTGTGCATGGTTAGATATTACATCAATTGGGGAGATACTGGTCAAAGAGTACAGAGTTTCAGTTAGTAGGGATAAGTACCATAGATCTGCACAGCGTGTGACTACAAGTTAATAATAATGTACTGTATATTTGACAATTGCTAAGAGAAAGGAAGTAAATAAGATACTACAACAACTGCTGAATCTTTTCAGTTAGAAAGCAGGCTTTAATGATATCAGACTTAAGTTTGCAAGACTCTTTTTTTATTTTTTAACCTTCCTCAAGTCTCTTCCTTAAATGTTGATATTTCAGATTATCAGAAGTTCCTATATTCTTTTTTTTTTTTTCTTTTTGAGACAGAGTCTCGCTGTGTTGCCCAGGCTGGAGTGCAGTGGTGCAATCCCAGCTCACTGCAAGCTTCGCCTCCCAGGTTCATGCCATTCTCCTGCCTCACCCTCCCAAGCAGCTGGGACTACAGGCGCCCGCCACCAAGCCCGGCTAATTTTTTGTATTTTTAGTAGAGACAGCGTTTCACCGTGTTAGCCAGGATGTTCTCGATCTCCTGACCTCATGATCCGCCCACCTCGCCCTCCCAAAGTGCTGGGATTATAGGCATGAGCCACTACGCCTGGCCTGGAAGTTCCTATATTCTAGAAAATAGTCTATAATATAATAATATACATTTTCTTTTCTTTTTTTTTTTTTTTTTTTTTTTTTTTTTGAGACGGAGTCTCGCTGTGTCGCCCAGGCTGGAGTGCAGTGGCCGGATCTCAGCTCACTGCAAGCTCTGCCTCCCGGGTTTTTACGCCATTCTCCTGCCTCAGCCTCCTGAGTAGCCGGGACTACAGGCGCCCGCCACCTCGCCCGGCTAGTTTTTTGTATTTTTTAGTAGAGACGGGGTTTCACCGTGTTAGCCAGGATGGTCTCGAACTCCTGACCTCGTGATCCGCCCGTCTCGGCCTCCCAAAGTGCTGGGATTACAGGCTTGAGCCACCGCGCCCGGCCCATACATTTTATTTTCAAAAAAAAAAAAAAAAAAACTAAGATTGCTTTTCAAAGTATAGGGATGGATTTTTGTTTTCTCTCACATGGTTCCCTGGGTTTTGTAACCTATTGGAATAATGGTATATAAATAGCTGTGAAACAGAACAAAAAGAAATGAAGTAATGTCTGTCATGGAAATTACACCTTGATGACTGTAGCCATATGAGTGCATGGATTAACCATTGACTTGAGAAGTCCTCTTAGATTAGCATATTAAGTCCTTTGAGGGGGAAACATTTTTTTTGCTCTCTTTCTGACTTCATGGGAGGTGGAAAATGATGAAAGACAGAGGTACCAGGAATCTTCCTGGTTGACAGTTATAGCAGTAATGAACTGTTGAAATTGCTGTTTACTTGCTGGTTCTTTATGAAATAAAGAAGTGATGGAGTTTCCTTTTGTGTCACTAAATTATTAACCATACCTCAGATAATATGCCATACATTGTCTTTACACAGTGAGGTCATTGTGTACTGATGCCTTGCAATCAATCACTTGTGCTAAAGACCAAGTTTAGTATCAGTGAGTGTGTTTACAAACCATTCTGGCTTTGTGGTTAATGTTTATGAAAATGAAAATAGTCTTAACCACTTTTAACAGCTTCTTTTTTTTTTTTTTGAGATGGAGTTTCGCTCTTGTTGCCCAGGCTGGAGTGCAATGGTGCAGTCTCATCTCACCACAACCTCTGCCTCCCGGGTTCAAGTGATTCTCCTGCCTCAGCCTCCCGAGTAGCTGGGATTACAGGCATATGCCACCAGGCCTGGGTCATTTTGTATTTTTGTTTGTTTTTGTTTTTGAGACAGAGTCTCGCTCTGTTGCCCAGGCTGGAGTGCAGTGGCGCGATCTCGGCTCACTGCAAGCTCTGCCTCCTAGGTTCACACCATTCTCCTGCCTCAGCCTCCTGAGTAGCTGAGACTACAGGCACCTGCCACCACGCCCGGCTAATTTTTTTTGTATTTTTAGTCGAGATGGGGTTTCACTGTGTTAGCCAGGATGGTCTCAATTTCTTGACCTCATGATCCACCCACCTTGGCCTCCCAAAGTGCTGGGATTACAGGCGTGAGCCACCCTGCCTGGCCTTAATTTTGTATTTTTAATAGAGACGTGGTTTCTCCATGTTGGTCAGACTGGTCTCGAACTCCCAACCTCAGGTAATCTGCCCGCCGTGGCCTCCCAAAGTGCTGGGATTACAGGTGTGAGCCACTGTGCCTGGCCTTTAGCAGCTTCTTAAGTGAATGCGAGAACTTAGTGCATACTTGCTGTATTTGAAGGGTTATTTGCTAGTCTTCCTGTACAGTTCCTCCCCTCCCTGCCCGTAATACACATGCAGTATCAAGTAGTTACTCCAACTAAGAGAATAAAACAGGTCCCTAAAAATCAGAGCATTTAAATATGATACAGAAAAGTTTTTTGTTTGGTCTGCTTTGATGTGGTTTGCCTTTGCAAAAGTGGAGGTGGAGGAATTGGAAGGAGGTCCTGGAAGCCATTTTTATGACTTAGAATATGATATATGTACATTTTAATTTATATAATTTTTTCTTTAATATTTAAAATATCCTATTTTCTAAACAAATTGGTTGGTTGGTCAAATAAATGATTGATTTGTTTTAAACAGGTCAAGGTGAAGATGTTCTTAAGGGGTCCCAGATTACATATGTAACAGGTGTAGAAGGGGACGACGTCGTTTCTACACAAGTAGCCACAGTAACCCAATCTGGGCTGAGTCAACAAGTTACACTCATATCCCAAGATGGAACTCAGCATGTAAGTATCAATCAAAAGCCAAACAAATTAAATCTTTCCGTGAACCTGGGCTTGAAAGGCAGGCTGGCTCCCCATTGAGGAAAACTTTGAAATATCAGGGCACAAAGTTTGGAAACCCTGAGGTTTTCCAGGAGTCTGCTTAAAGAGACTGTGTGCAGAGAGATGAGGAGAAAGAGAATGTTTGTGACTGCAGAATCCAAATGGTATTCTTGGTGTAGCTCAAAGGTGAGATGATAAAGGTCAGCCACAGAGAGGCTGAGGTCTTGACAAGTACTGGATCCATGTGAAACACAGCTCAGAAAAGGGATAGGATTTGGTGGCTGATTAGATCCAGGAGGTGAGATTGAAAAAACAAAGATTTGGCTGAGGTGATCAGCATATGATGGCACCATTAAGAGATCAGGAATCATGAGAGTTCACTCAGCTAGCTTCACAGAGTCGATAGAATAGGTATGTTGATTTCCCCCAGAAAAAGCGCAGTGTAATGGTTCTCTGATAGTCAAACTTGTTATTATTTTCTAGATGTTACTAGCCTAAAATAATTCCACCTTCATTCCATTTTTAAGCTCTAGCAAAGGCCGTCTCAATACCTGGTGGAAATATGCACAATGTGCTTCTTTTACCCTTCTGTGTCTGCCCCTTTCATGAGAATGCTCTCCTTACCCATCTCTCTTAGGGTTTAATGATTAATCTGCCCTGTTTTGATACTCAGGATTCAAAAGTACAAAGCTCTTACACCATCTCATTTATCTCCTTCCTCATTTTGACGTCACTAATTTCACACTATACTCTTTGTCCTCTGACTGGTATGCAAGATTATTAACCAAGTTTTAATTCTGCATCAGCCTTAACACTTTCTTGAATTAGATCATCACATACAGAGGTCCTCTGGAGGTTGTTTTATATAACCTCCCTCTTCCCTATACATGAAAAATTCCCACTATAGCAGGTCTGAAATAGCCGCTACTGAGAAACCCCCAGTGATTAGGCAATTTCTGTCTTAGGCAATGTTGGGCTGGGTGCAGTGGTTCACACCTATAATCACAGCACTTTGAGAGGCCAAAGCGGGTGGATCACTTGAGATCAGGAGTTTGAGACCAGCCTGGCCAAAGTGGTGAAACCCTGTCTCTACTAAAAATATTGAAATTGGCTGGTGTGGTGGCACACTCCTGTAGTTCCACCTACTAGGTAGGTTGAGGCAGGAGGATCACTTGAACCCAGGAGGCAGGGTAAGACAACATTGTGCCACTGCACTCCAGCCTGGACAATAGAGTGAGACTCCATCTCTAAATAAATAAATAAGTACATTTTAAAAAGAGGCAATCTGTTCCATTGTTGAATAATTCTAGTGTTTGTTTGTTTGTGTGATTTTAGAGATGGTCCCACTCTGTTGCCCAGGCCAAAGTGCAGTGGCACAACCATAGTTCAAAGGACTACAGGCGTGTACCACCACACCTGGCTAATTAAAGAAACATGTTTTTTTCAGAGGTGAGGGCTCACTGTGTTATCCAGGCTGGTCTTGAACTCCTGGCCTCAGGTGATCCTCCTGCCTCAGCATCCCAGAGCACTGGGATTTCAGGCATGAGCCACCGTAATTCTAGTATTTATCAGACCAGAACCCACCCCTGTATCATCCAGTCATGGCTCCTCTCCAACCATACTGAATAAGTCTAATCCTTCTTCATATATTCCAAAACAACTATCTTTCCCTTCCCAATGTTGTACTTTCTCTACACTTAACCTTCTCATTTCCTTCAGGAATTAGATTTCCATTCCATTCCTTTAATCAGTCAAACGATAGACATTTATTGAGCATCTACCCCATGCCAGACATTTTGGTCAGTGGACTTAGTGTTGGAATCACAGGAAGGGCAGTATCACAGTCTAGTAGGAGAGAGACCCTTTTAGAATGAATAATTTTTCATAATGAGGGGTATATAATTGAGGGATATAGAAAGTGCTGTGGCACCCTGGAGGAGAGAGTAAATTTTTCTTCCTAAAGTAATCTTGCAGATCCTCATAGAGAATGGGTGTTCAGTTGGGTCTTGAAGGATTTTCATGAACTCACCAAACAGTGAAGGGAAGAGAATATGATATTTTCTAGGACTACAAATGACTAGTTGTGGCTGGAGTGTCAGTTGCTAGTTTAAAAGTAGTGGAAGATGAGTCTGGGGAAGTTGGTAAAGGCCAGGTCATGAAAGGTCAAGAATGCTATGTAAGAAGTCTGGGCTGGGCACGGTGGCCCACACCATAAACCCAGCACTTTGAGAGACTAAGGCAGGCAGAGCACCTGATGTCAGGAGTTTGAGACCAGCCTGACCAACATGGAGAAACCCCATCTCTACTAAAAATACAAAATTAGCCAGGTGTGTTGGCGCATGCCTGTAATTCCAGCTACTCGGGAGGCTGAGGCAGGAGAATCGCTTGAATCCGGGAAGTGGAGGTTGTGGTGAGTCGAGATCATGCCATTGCATTCCAGCCTGGGCAACAAGAGCAAAACTCCTTCTCAAAAAAAAAAAGACTAAACTATAGGTGATGGGCAGTCACAGGGGATTTCAGCAGCAGAGAGCATAATAAGATTTTGTTTCGTTTTGTTTTAGAAAGATGTCAACATGGAGGATGGTTAGGGAAGGGTTAGACTGGATACCTGGAGAGAAGTTGGATTCTCGTAGAAATTCAGATGGGAGAAAAATAAGGATCTAAATTAGCAACAGGAATGGAGAGGAGGAAATGCAATTAAGAAAAACTGTATTGCCGGGCATAGTGGCTCACACCTGTAATCCCAGCACTTTGGGAGGCCGAGGCAGGCGAATCACAAGGTCAGGAGATCAAGACCGTCCTGGCTAACACGGTAAAACCTTGTCTCTACTAAAAATACAAAAAAAAAAAAAAAATTAGCTGGGTGTGGTGGCGGGCATCTGTACTGTAGTCCCAACTACTTGGAAGGCTGAGGCAGGAGAATGGCGTGAACCCAGGAGGCGGAGCTTCCAGTGAGCAGAGATCGCACCACTGCACGCCAGCCTGGGCAACAAGCAAGACTCTGTCTCAGAAAAAAAAGAAAAAAGAAAGAAAGAAATACTGTATTGCCTGTATTGTGTGAACAGTGGCTCACACCTGTAATCCCAGCACTTTTGGGAGGCTGAGGTGGGAGGATCACTTGAGGCCAGGAGTCTGAGACCAGTCTGGGCAACATGGTGAGACCCCATCTCTACAAAAAAAAAAAAAATACAAATTATTAGTCAGGAGCAATGGGTCACGCCTCTGTAGTCACAGCTACTTAAGAGGATGAGGCTAGAGGATCACTTGAACCCAGGAGTTGTAGACTGCAGTGAGCTATGATTACATCACTGCACTCCAGCCTGGGCAACAGAGCAAGGCCTTGTCTCCAAAAATAATAATAAAATAAGAATTTTTAAAAGAAATATTGTATTGATTTTTTTCTGATGGCTGAATGAGTTTATTTCATTCTAAAAGACTTATTTACATTCACAGAGCAAACTTATACAAGGATTAGTCCCAGTCCTTATTCAGATTGTCAGCTATAACAGGAAACATTGACTGCTTTGTAAAATTCACTGTATTGCAGGTCAACATATCTCAAGCTGACATGCAGGCCATTGGCAACACCATCACAATGGTAACACAGGATGGCACGCCCATCACAGTTCCCGCCCATGATGCAGTCATCTCGTCAGCAGGAACACATTCTGTTGCTATGGTTACTGCTGAGGGTACGGAAGGGCAACAGGTAATTACTTTTTTCTGTTATATCAATCAATACATATATCAGTACCAAAACTGTTACATAGATGTACAATGTGGTACAACAGTTAAGCACACAAACTTTGGAGTGAATAATATTTTGCAACTTCTTAGCTACTTAACCCTCAGAGCCTGTTTTTCCTCATCTGTAAAGTAGGGTGCTAGTGGCATCTACCCCATAAGATTGATGTAAGGATTGAATGAGATTATATAAGATACTCAGCCTACATATATATTAAGTGTTCAGTAGTGGTAGTTATTCCTATTATCATCATTATCAGATACTTAGGAAATAATTGCAAAATTTACTATTTAATTTTTTGAATATGTCATATATTCATATGGTTTAAAACTCAAAAAATATATACAGGTGTGTAATGAAAAGTCTTCATCCCACCCCTGCCTTCATCAACTCAATTCTTGCCTCCACAGATAATCAACTTTTATCAATTTTTTGTGTATTCTTCCAATCATTAAGCATATACAAACAAATACAAATAAGTAAATAGTCATCTCCCCCTTCCTTTTTTGTTAACTAGCCCACAGCTAACATAATAGCTCTCTTTTGGTTTTTGAGACAGACTGGAGTGCAGTGGCACGATCACGGTTCATTGCAGCCTCTACCTCTCAGGCTCAAACAATCCTCCCACCTCAGCCTCCCGAGTAGCTGAGACATGGTGGTATGCACCACCATGCCTGGCTAATTTTTCTGTCTTTTTCTTTTTTCTTTTTTTTTTAATTGTAGAGACAGGGTCTCACTATGTTGCCCAGGCCTTGGCCCCCCAAAGTGCTGGGATTACAAGCATAAGCCACCATGCCCAGCCTCCATTTTTTTTTTTATTGATAGTAAACTAGTCTGTTCTGCATCTTGTATGTTGTCTTTTAGACTTAACAATACATCTTCAAAATCTTTCTATTTCATTATATAGACAGATTCCTCATCCTTTTTTTTTTTTAAGCTGCATTGTATTCCACTTACGGATGTGCCGTAATTAAAGTCTTTTGCTATTTCAAACAACACATAACCTTGTGCACATGTGATTTTACTTATATAAGTGTGAGTATATATGCTAGATAAATTCCTAGAGCAGGATTGCTGGTGCAAAGTTACATGCATTCGTAATTGTGTGTGTTTTAATTTTCATTTCACTTAAATAACGTAATATATTTAAAAACTCTTCTTGTACTATACTAAAGGCAATGTTGAGTCTCACTCTTGAAAAAAGAATGAAGTTGGTGGTCTTATAACACCCTGAATGCAAAACTCAGAATCATAAAGCTTCTAGAAGAAAAGAGAGGCAAATAGTTTTGCATCCTTAAAGATTTCTTGGACTGTATTCAAACTGTAGTAATAATGAAAGAAAAAAAACTGATAAATTGGACTTAATCAAAATTAATTCTGCTCACCAAAAGACACTGTTAAGAAAAAGATCAGACAACTCCCAGACTGAGGAAAAGATATTCACACCATATTCACACCCTATATTCACACAATACAAGTCTAAAAACAGACTTGTATTGAGAATGTGTAACAAACTTCTACAAATCAACAATGAAAAGATGAACAACCATTAAAAATGAGCCAAAAAAATGTTTTAAATGTACAAATCATTCAGTTGCTCATTGAACAGACCTCCCACAAAAGATACATAACACAAGTGCACATCTCTTATCATCAAAGAAATGCAAATTAATATCACAATGAGAGAGCATTTCAAACCCAAGAAGATGGCTAAAATAAAAAACCAAATGTTGATTTCTCCTAAGAAACTAGTGAGGAAACAACCACCACCACCACCTCCAAATGTTGGCAAAGATGCGGAGCAACTAGAACATTCATGTACTGCTAGTGGGAGTGTAAAATGATGTACGTAGCCGATAAGCATATGAAAAGATGTTCAACATCATTAGTCATTAAGAAAATGCAGGCTGGGTGCGGTGGCTCACTCCCGTAATCCCAGCACTTTGGGAGGCTGAGGCAGGTGGATCACCTGAGGTCAGGAGTTCAAGACCAGCCTGGCCAAACATGGTGAAACTCCGTCTCTACTAAAAATACAAAAGTGTTAGCCAGGTATGGTGGTGTGGCACCTGTAATCCCAGCTACTCAGGAGGCTGAGGCAGGAGAATCACTTGAACCCGGGAGGCAGAGGTTGCAGTGAGCCAAGATTGCACCACTGCACTCCAGCCTGGGCAAAAAGAGTGAGACTCCGTCTTAAAGAAAGAAAAAAAAAAGGCTTCTGGTTATTTTCATAGGAAACAAATTTTTGTATTAACAGTTTAAGCTATTTTAAACTGCTTGTTACATATTGCCAAATTATTTTTCAGAAAGGTTTAATAATCATGTTATGGATCTAAAAGGTTTCTTTTTCACTGTACTCTTGCTAGCATTGAGGTTTTTTTTTTTTCATATTTACAGAATTAACAAGCAAAAGTTAAATTCTGTTTATTTTCATTTGACCACTAGTGAAGTTAAACCTGTTTTTCATATTTGCCTGCAATTTGTTTTTTTCTTAATTGAGGTAAAATTTACGTAACAATGAAATGCATAGATCTTAAATTTACAATTCAATGAGTTATGTTAAATATGCACCCATATAACTAACATCCTAAACAAAATGTAGAACATTTCTATCATGCCAGAAAGTTCCCTTGTGATTCCTTTGTAGCCAGTACTCACCCTCCTTAGGCAGAAACTGTTGTGATAGAATTAGTTTTGCTTATTATTATTATTTTTTTGACAGAGCCTCACCCTGTCACCCTGGCTGGAGTGCAGTGACACGTTCTCAGCTCATTGCAACCTCCCGCGCCTGGCTAATTTTTTTGTATTTTTAGTAGAGATGAGGTTTTACCATGTTGGCCATGCTGGTCTCCAACTCCTGACCTCAAGTGATCTGCCCACCTCAGCCTCCCAAAGTGCTAGGATTACAGCGTGAGCCACTGCGCCCAGCTTAGTTTTGCCTATTCTTGAACATTACATAAATGGAACCACAGTATGAACTTTTTTGTGTCTGGGTTTTTCTACTTAACATTTTGAATATTTACTCACATTGTTGGCATATAATAACAGTTCATTCTTTTTTATTGCTGAGCAGTATTCTATTGTAACAATATACCACAATTTGTTGATATATTCTCCCCTTGGTGAACATTTGAAATGCTTCCAGTTTTTGACTATTATGAATAAGATGGCAATAAAAATTCTAGTAAAAATATGTTTGTAGATGTATACTCTCATTTGTCTTGGATAAATACCTATTCATGGAATTGCTGGGTCATAGAATAGAGGCATATTTACCTTTCTATGATAGTACCAAACAGTTCTCCAAAGTGGTTGGGCCGTCATACACTCCCACTAGCAATGTATAAGAGTTTCATTTGTTCAGTGCTGCTTCTTGTGGTTAAAAATTTTTTTTAAAATAGGCTGGGTGCGGTGGCTCACACCTGTAATCCCAGCACTTTGGGAGGCCAAGGTGGGAGGATTGCTTGAGCCCAGGATTTTAAAACCAACCTGAGTGATGTAGCAAGACCCTGTCTCCACCACATTTGTGTTTGTTTGTTTGTTTTTTGAGGCAGAGTCTTGCTCTGTCACCCAGGCTGGAGTGCAGTGGCACAGTCCCGGCTCACTGCAAGCTTCGCCTCCGGGTTCATGCCATTCTCCTGCCTCAGCCTCCCGAGCAGCTGGGACTACAGGCGCCCGCCATCATGCCCGGCTAATTTTTGTATTTTTGGTAGAGACGGGGTTTTACCATGTTGGTCAGGCTGGTCTCCAACTCCTGACCTCAGGTGATCCACCCCCCTTGGCCTCCCAAAGTGCTGGGATTACAGGTGTGAGCCACCATGCCTGGCCAATTTTTTTTTTTTTAAATTAGCCAAGCATGGCAGCGTGTGCCTGTAGTCCCACGTACTCTTGAAGCTGAGGTGGGAGGATCACTTGAGCCCAGGAGGTTGAGACTTTGGTGAGCCATGTTCATTGTACTACAGCCTGGGTGACAGAGCAAAACCCTGTCTTCTAAAAAAATTAAAAAGAGGCCAGGCACAGTGGCTCACGCCTGTAATCCCAGGAATTTGGGAGGCTGAGGCAGGTGGATCATGAGGTCAGGAGTTCGAGACCAGCCTTGCCAGCATGGTGAAACCCCGTCTCTACTAAAAATACAAAAAAAATTAGCTGGGCATGGTGTGGTGCGCACCTTTAGTCCCAGCTACTCGGGAGGCTGAGGCAGGAGAATTGCTTGAACCCGGTAGGCGGAGGTTGCAGTGAGCCAAGATTGCACCATTGTACTCCAACCTGAGTGACAGCGAGACTGTCTCAAAAAAATGAAAAATAAAAAAGAGTTCTGTTTGTTTCATATTATCACCAACATTTGGAGTTGTTTTAAAGTTTTAGCCATTCTACTGGATGTGAAAGGGTCTAGCATTGTGTTTTTAATTTACATATAAAAAAGCTAATATATCACTTGATTATGATGTGTTTACTTTTTCATATTTTGCTGGATTGAGTTCACTAATATATTTTTTAAAGATGATTTTTTTTAGAGCAGTTATAGGTTCACCACAAAATTGAGAGGTAAGTACAGAGACTTTCCTTATACTCCCTGGCCCCACACATGCATAGCCTCCTGTATAATCAACACCCCCACCAGAGGAGCACGTTTGTTACCGTCGTTGAAACCTACACTGTACATATCATAGTCACTCAGAGTCCATCATTTACATCCGGATTCACTGTTAGTGTTATATATTCTATGGGTTTGGACAAACATATAATGACATACATCTATCAGTAGAGGATCATACTCCATCAGAGTATTTTTACTGCCCTTAAGATCCTCTGTGACAGTTTGCTAGTATCTTGTTAAAGATTTTGGTGTCAATATATATGAACCATATTGATCTATAATTTTTTTTTTTTTTTTTTTTGAGACGGAGTTTCACTCTGTCGCCCAGGCTGGAGTGCAGTGGCATGATCTTGGCTCACTGCAAGCTCTACCTCCCGGGTTCACGTCATTCTCCTGCCTCAGCCTCCTGAGTAGCTGGGACTACAGGCGCCCGCGACCACTCCCGGCTAATTTTTTGTGTTTTTAGTAGAGACGGGGTTTCACCGTGTTAGCCAGGATGGTCTCGATCTCCTGACCTCGTGATCTGTCCACCTAGGCCTCCCAACGTACAGGTGTGAACCACCACGCCCAGCCTTGATCTATAATTTATTATGAAATTATAAGACAAAGTTTAATCTCCTGTTTCAATATCGGGGTTAGGCTTGCCTCATAAAATAAGTTGGGAAGTGTTCTATTCGGTGGTATTTTCTGATAGTTGTGTAAGATTGGTATTATTTCTCCATAAAAGCTTGATAGAATTAATCAGGACACCATCATCTAGGTCTAGAGTTTTCTTTTTTGGGAGGTTTTTTTTTTTTTCCCCATGGATTCAAGTTTTTAAGTAGATCTATACTATTCAAGTTATCTACGTTTTTTTGTTTCCATTTTGCTAAGTTTGTTTTTGTAAGTTTTTTTCATCTAAGTTTTCATATTTATTGATATAAAGTTGTTCATACTATTTCCTTATTATCCCTTTAATATACATAGGATCTGGGGACCAGGCGCGGTAGCTCATGCCTGTAATTCCAGCACTTTGGGAGGCTGAGGTGGGTGGATCATCTGAGGTCAGGAGTTCAGGACCAACCCAGGGCAACATGGTGAAACCCCGTCTCTACTAAAAATACAAAATTAACCAGGTGTGGTGGTGCATGCCAGTAGTCCCAGCTACTCAGGAGGCTGAGGTGGGAGGATCACTTGAGCCCAAGAGGCAGAGGTTGCAGTGAACTGTGAGATAGCACCACTACACTCCAGCCTGGGCGACAGAGGGAGGCCCTGTCCCCCCCCAAAAAAGAAAAGAACAGGCAGTGGAAGCTAAAGCAATTCTTAGGGGAAATTTTGTTTTAAATGTTTGTATTGGGAAAAAAAGTTTTAAATGCAATGATCTTAGTTTCTACCTTAAGAAAAATTAAAAAGTAAATGGAAGGAAATAAGGACTGGGCACAGTGGCTCATGCCTGTAATCTCAGCACTTCGGGAGGCTAAGGCAAGCGGTCCCAAGTAGCTGTGACCCAGGCTGGCCTCAAACTCCTGGGCTTCAGGAATCCCTCAGCCTCAGCCTCCCAAGTAACTAGGACTGCAGGTGGAAGCCACTGCTTCTGGCAAAAAAAAAAAAAAAAAAAAAAATTAATTAATTAAATTCTTTGTCTACTGCCTTCTGGAACTCTAATTATATGTATATTAACTTGGTGTTGTCTTACAAGTTGCTGGGGATCTATTTGGTTTTTTTGCCTTTTTGAGACACAGTTTTCGCTCTTGTTGCCCAGGCCAGAGTGCAAATGGCACGATCTCATCTCGCTGCAACCTCCACCTCCCGTGTTCAAGCGATTCTACTGCCTCAGCCTGCCAAGTAGCTGGGATTACAAGCACTGGCCACCACGCCTGGCTAGTTTTTGTAATTTTAGTAAAGATGGGGTTTCACCATGTTGGTCAGGCTGATCTCAAACTCCTGAGCTCAGGTGATCCACCCGCCTCAGCCTCTCAAAGTGTTGGGATTACAGGTGTGAGCCACCACACCTAGCCTATTTGGGGTTTTTATCAATCTTTCTCCAGGTTCTTCAGATGGAGAATGTATATTGTCTTTGACCTTGTTCTCCTCCCTCCGCCTCCTGAGTAGCTGGGACTACAGGCACCTGCCACCATGCCCAGCTAATTTTTGTATTGTTTTTGTTTTTGTTTTTTTTAGTGGAGACGGGGTTTCACCATGTTGACCAGGCTGATCTCAAACTCCTGACCTCAGGTGATCCACCTGTCTCAGCCTCCCAAAGTGCTAGGATTACAACGTGAGCCACCATGCCTGGCTAAGCAATTGTAATTTCAAAATTGCATTCTGGACCTTGTGGATGACACATTATAGAGATTATGAATTTTGTTATCTTTCTGTGGAGAATATTGATTTTTTTTTTCTATTAACTAGTTAAATTATGTGTTGAGGCTGGGTTTTGTACTTTGTTAAGGCAGATCTGTTTCAGTGTTGCCATTATGTCTTAGGGTGAATATTTAATCCTGGGATGTAATCTTACCTCATAACTTGGTAAGATTGAAACTTCAAATTCCATCTCTTTTTGGTGAGTTGCACTGAAAGCTCTCCTTAACTTCTCAGCCTTCTAGATGCTGCTTTGCCAATCTTGTTGGAACGTTATTGGAAACTGGAAATATTTGTGTTCAGGGATCTTAAGGATTTGACGACAGTTTATACAAAGATTTGGGGGCTCCCTGCTCAGATTCTTTGCTTTCTGGGCTATTCTCTGTACTGCTATTCTGGCAGCCCTGGACTCCATTATCTTTAACATTAAGTTGCCCCATGCTGCTCAAACTGGGTAGTGCCCTCAGTGTGAAATCTGTAAACACAAATGTAACACAGTGTGACTCCCTTCTTTCAAGAATCCCCTCTAGTTTCTTCCAGCTTTTCATTGCTGCTCAAAGCCTTCAAATAGTTGCTTTTTCGTATTTTTGTCAAGGGTTTGTAATTGTTATCTGCAGGAAGGTAAGCCCAATATAAGCTACTTAGACATTGCTGGAATGAAATCTGTTGTTCTTATAGAATTAGGGAACATTACTGGGATTGATCCAAGCTAAATATCTGTTAGCTTAAAATGTAGCATTTTTAGTGGGTGAATAGCCAAGTAAAACAGCAGTTTTCATTTTTAATCTATTCTTTCTCTGAATTGGCTGAGTAAAATTTTAGAATATCATCTAACAGAAATAGTTAATTGCCATTTTCCATGTTATCTGCCTTTTTAAAAAAGTTGTATTTGTGGTATAAGAGCCACAAAAGCACGTTTAATCCTCCTGGCTAGATGCTGCAAGAGGAGTATGGGGAGATTCCATACAGTCTAAAATGGGAAATGAGTGTGAGATGAGATGCTGTTTGTCAGTAATACCACTGGACCTTTCAGTTTTCCTAGTTAAATGGAAATCTAATGTTAAATACGACAAACCGGAAAATAGTCATTTATTTTCTCCTATGATCCAATCTCAGGGAAAAAAATGGACTTTTGAGGTACAAATTAGTCCACATGCATAACTTCCCAAGCAGCCCCTTAGGGGTAATTGAACCTAGGTACAGCCACATCTCCCTGGCTAATGGGGCCTGGCATAGCAGATCCATTTCTCCAGTGTCCTCTACCCTGTTTTGCCGTTGGCTTACTTCATAACCTTAAATAATGAGCCTCAACTTCCTTCCAATATAGGCTTTGACAAGCCTATGGTCAGAGGAGTTTTTCTTTTTCAATTTGAAGACAGTCCATTGTATTAAGTGGACTTTAACCTATTTAAATCTCAGATTTAATTCTTCATGTGTGTGATTTGTTTTGTTAGGTTGCAATTGTAGCTCAAGACTTGGCAGCCTTCCATACTGCCTCATCAGAAATGGGGCACCAGCAGCATAGCCATCACTTAGTAACCACAGAAACCAGACCTCTGACCTTAGTAGCAACATCCAATGGCACCCAGATTGCAGTTCAGGTGAGTACCAAGGCAGGCTGTCCTCAGTTGACAGCAGTGCTGCTCATAGCTCTCAACTTTGTACACTGTGCTTTGTGTATAACCTTTACAGGAGGCAAGGTACAGAATAATCTCTATCACCTAGCCTACTTTAAGGAAATTGCAGTGTTTGAGGTGGACTCAAAGAGACCAGCACTTTGTTCTCTACCCATCTTTTCATATTCTAGGGGAATTTATAGCAAGAAAAAAAAACCTTCAGGTGTACATCGCTGTGTGCACCCACCCAGGCATCTTCAAATTAGGCAGGGGTCTATAAAGCACTTAAGAGCTACTCCTTAGAGCGAAACCTAGTGGAAACACAAATCCTAAATAAGTCTTCTGAGAATCTGTGCATAGCCCCCATTTTAAAGAGGGGAATGTCAGAAGAGTTAGAAGGAATCATTCTCTGGGAAGCAGAGAATTTAGAATCTTAGGTGCAGCTGGGCATGGTGGCTCATCCCTATAACCCAGCACTTTGGGAAGCTGAGGCACGTAGGTAGCTTGAGCTCAGGAGTTAGAGACCAGCCTGGGCAACATCGTGAAAACCCGTCACTACAAAAAGCACAAAATTAGCTGGGTGTGGTGGTGGGTGCCTGTAGTGCCCAGCTATTTGGCGGGGGGCTGAGGTAGGAGGATTACTTGTACCCAGGGTATTTGAGGCTGCAGTGAGCCAAGATTGTGCTACTGCACTCCCGCCTGGGTAACAAATGAGACCCCAAAATAAAAGAGACCAGCCTGGGCAACATGATGAAACCCTATCTCTACAAAAATACAAAAGTTAGCTGGGTGTGGTGGTGTGCACCTGTAGTCCCAGCTACTCTGGTGGCTGAGGTGGAAGGATCACTTGAGCCAGGGAGGTTGAGGCTGCAGTGAGCCAAGATCGCACCACTGTCCTCCAGTCTGTGTGACAGAGCGAGACCCTGTCTCAAAAAAAAAAAAAAAAAAAAAAAAAAAAAAAAAAAAAGAATGTAAAGTAATATAGAATCCTAGGGGCTAGGTGCAGATTACCTGTCCTTAGGGAGATTTTTCCCCCTATGTGTTTACTTGATAAAGAGTTAGAACACACTAGAGGAAATGTCAGCTGTTGGTTTTATGTAGTTTGTGGGTATAGAAGCCAAAGGCTCAAGAAGCTCTTTTTTGTTGGCTGAGGTAAGCATCCTTTGTCTCTTGCATGTATGAAGATTTTTTTTTTTTAAGTTTTTATTCATTTAAAAATAGAGATGGGGTCTCACTATGTTGCTCAGGCTGGTCTTGAACTTCTGGGCTCAAGTGATCCTCCTGCAGCCTCCCGAAGTGCTAGGAATGTAGTCATGAGCCATCATGGCCGGACTGTATGAAGATTTTATCAGAATCCCAAATAAATTGCAGGCCAGGCACAGCAGAAAGAAAGAAAAAGAGAGAGAAAGAAAAAGAAAGAAAGAAAGGAGGGAGGGAGGGGAGAGGGGAGGGGAGGGGAGGCTGAGACAGGATAGGGTGGCTGAACCAAGGAAGCGGAAGAGTCTGCCCCTCAGCCTCTTCCTCTGAGGTGGGAGCCTCAGCCTCCCCAGCAGCTGAGACTCCAGGTGCATGCTGCCATGCCCAGCTAATTTTTAGTTTTTGAGACAGAGTCTTGCTCTGTTGCCCAGGCTGGAGTGCAGTGGCGAGATCTCGGCTCACTGCAAGCTCCGCCTCCCGGGTTTACGCCATTCTCCTGCCTCAGCCTCCCGAGTAGCTGGGACTACAGGCGCCCACCGCCTCGCCCGGCTACTTTTTCGTATTTTTTAGTAGAGACGGGGTTTCACCATGTTAGCCAGGATGGTCTCGATCTCCTGACCTCGTGATCCGCCCGTCTCGGCCTCCCAAAGTGCTGGGATTACAGGCTTGAGCCACCACGCCCGGCCAGTTTTTATATTTTTTTAAGTAGAGATGGGGTTTTGCCGTGTTGCTCAGGCTGGTCTTGAACCCCTGGGCTCAAGCAGTCTGCCTGCCTCCACCTCCCAAAGTGTTGGGATTACAGGCATGGGCCACCGTACCCCGCTGTGTCCTCATCGTATCACCAGGCCTGGCTGCACCTAGGATTCTAAATTCAAAAAAGAAAAAGAAATTGCATTGCATTATCCTCCCCTGCAGAAAATTGTTTTGTTCTCTTAATGATTGAGTTAGCAGTAGTATCTTAACAATACCAAGTGTCAGAATTACAGAGGGAAGTTTTCCTTCTAGCATATAACATTTCTTTGGCATTTTCTTGACTGTGGCTTTTGAATTGTTAGCATTTGATGTGTGTGTTCCTGTTTCAGCTTGGAGAACAGCCATCTCTGGAAGAAGCCATCAGAATAGCATCTAGAATCCAACAAGGAGAAACACCAGGGTTGGATGATTAATCCTCAGAACAATGGAGCAATAAAGCAAGGAGTCTTTCATCTTCTGGCAGCAGAAATCCATGAAGCCTGGGCCCAGGAAAATTAGAAGTTTTCCATTCCTGATACACTGTACACATTTTTATGCGAGAGTGGAGAACATTTTATTCTTGACACTTTTGTGTGTATAACCCTTGGAATAGATTCTCAGAGTGATTCATTGTGTACAAGGAAGTATGAAATTAGGGCAATACAGTAAATTTTCATGTTACTCTTTTATCAGATCACAAACTCCTAGAGTCTACATGCAAGACTAGTAGAGTCTTATGGAGTCTTATGATGGATTTTTAACTTCCCATGGAAAAAAAAATAAAGGCTGTATCTAAAATATCAAAGGTTCTATATGTCACACAATCGTAATTCCAAAAGCCATTATGGATAATAAAGGATGTAAAGCCTTCAGATATTTCCCCAGTTAGTAGAGTGTCTGCGGTTTTTGTTCTACTATATGTTTGTCCATTTTTATTTGTATCTCATGGTTTGCAGACTATTTGAATAATTTATAGTTTCCCATCCCTGTTAAAAACCAGCTCTTCAAGCTGAAATGCTAATTATATTGGCATTACGTTGAATTATGTACAAAATTATAAAATTTATTTAAAATTAAAAAGTTAAATCTAGTGGTTTTGTTAAAGATTTTGCTTAGTATTCAGTTTTTATTACTGTTTTTTAAAAATAATGAATTATCAAAGTTTAACCACAGGCTGGTTCCCGAGATAACAGTACTGTAATTGGAAATGGCTTTATTCTGAAAATTAGGTTAGTGGGTTGGTGTAAATTATTTATTTTTGCTTATGTACTTTTGTTTTAAAGCTTATTTTCCCCAAAGTTTATTATTAATTTTGAATACAGCAATTTTTAAAATGTTACTTTTATTTTTTTTATTTATCAAATTGGGGGGATGGGGGAATGCTGCAGAAAATATTGCAAATGGAGTGTAACTTAATACACACATTGAAAGGATGTTGTGTATCAAGTACGGAATAAGTGCTTTTCCATATATTTTTATATATTCACAACAATTTTGTGAAACATAGGGGATTTACTGCCTCCATTTTACATATGAGGAAACCAAGAGTCCAGGGAGGCTGACTGTCTTACCAGCCCTCACAGCTACGGAGAGGCAGGACCAAGATGGGAACCCAGACCTTCTGGCACTGCACCACAGTTACCTCCTCGAATGCTCACTTGTGGCAGAGATTATCAAAATGAACTTTGGTGATACCTGATTGCCTAATGAATTGAGCCATGGAAAAACCATTTTCTAATGTTGAAAATTCAGCATTCACAAAGGTCAAAAAAAGAAAAAAAGATGAAGGTGTGTTCTGCAGCAGCCCTCCTGCACTGTCGTTCAGCGAGCTTTGTTTGCAGAGAGCTGAAATGTGGCTTTTTCATTTCAAGCTTTACAGTAGAAAGGGGAAACCATTGTGCTATTTTGTTTTACATAAATGTTATCTGTGATCAGGTTCTATGAACTCTTGCTAAAAAGGATGGTGACTTACTTGAAATAGGAACCCTTTATAGATATATAACATTAGCAAAAGCCCTAGTCAACCACAGATCCAGTCTTCATTCTTGAGAGAGACACAGACCCACACAGAACTCTTTGCTGAAGCCCACTGAGGCTCAGAAAGGGGCTGTCGGGCTGAGATAGAAGACCAGAATCTGTGAAATCGCGGGCAGGGTGGCACCCAGCCTCCCAGTGCTGGTCCTGGCTCCTGGCTGCTGGCCAGGAGCTCCTCCCCACTGGGCCCAGCCAGGCGCTGTGCTTCCCAGGACCAAAACCAAGCTGTCAGCCTCCCATGGCCCCTTAGATCTGACTTTGCTCAAATTTTCAGGGTGTTTCTCTTTACTCCCAGCACCTTTGCCAGTTGAATTGGGCAGGGCTCGACCTGGACTGTTTTGGTTAACCTGATTATCCCTCAGCTCAAAAGCAAATGACTTCCTACTGGCACCCAGAGAAAAGGATCTAGGGTCACTGCTAGTTTTCCCTGACCTGCCGTCTTGGGAATGGGGCTTCAGAAGCCTAGCGAGGTGGCCTGTTTCCTCCAGGGGAAGGGTGCAGTTGCTGTGCTGACAATTGCTAGGAAAGCTGCTTTGGGGGGGTTCTCTTCACAGTGCAGGACACGGAAACGTCCAAGGTTGAAAAATCCCAAAAAGACACTTGAAATAAGAGTAAACGCGGCCGGGCGCTGTGGCTCAAGCCTGTAATCCCAGCACTTTGGGAGGCCGAGATGGGCGGATCATGAGGTCAGGAGATCGAGACCATCCTGGCTAACACGGTGAAACCCCGCCTCTACTAAAAATACAAAAAATTAGCCAGGCGAGGTGGCGGGCGCCTATAGTCCCAGCTACTCGGGAGGCTGAGGCAGGAGAATGGCATAAACCCGGGAGGCGGAGCTTGCAGTGAGCGGAGATCCGGCCACTGTACTCCAGCCTGGGCGACAGAGTGAGACTCTGTCTCAAAAAAAAAAAAGAAGAAATAAATAAGAGTAAACGCTAGCAAACAGAACCAAGTGGGGCATAACCCTCTGGAATTTGATCCAGACAATGCTCAAGGAAAACCTCTCCGTCCAAAAAAATCACCCTGCTTTGCCCTAGACACACAGCTTGAGGCCACTACAAAGACAATGCCTTGCTGGCAGTCTGAACTCTTTGTAAGAACTTAGAGTTAAGGGAGGGACGAGGCTTTCTCAATTCTCTACAGGTGGCAGCTGCCCAGAGAGCCAGATCTCTCCTTCCCCTCCAACCCACCAGCAGGAGATAAACCTTCTGGGATGAACCACAAAATTCAAATTGTATAATTTCAGTGATTCCAAATATGAGATAAATATTCTGATATTTACATTTAAAATTGGCATTGTATAATACAAAACTGGAGGGTAAAATGCATGCCAAAATTTTTAATTTGTAGTTTTTCTTGCTTTTTTTTGAGACAGAGCAGCTCTGTTGCTCAGGCTGGAGTGCAATGGCGCGATCTCGGCTCACTGTAATCTCCACCTCCCGGGTTCAAGTGATTCTCCTGCCTCAGCCTCCCGAGTAACTGGGATTACAGGTACCAGCCATCATGCCCGGCTAATTTTTTGTATTTTTGTAGAGACAGGGTTTCATCATGTTGGCCAGGCTGGTCTCGAACTCCTTACCTCAGGTGATCCACCCACCTCGGCTTCCCAAAGTGCTGGGATTACATGTGTGAGCCACTGAGCCCCGCCTGTAGTTTTTCTTAGAATGACATTAAGTAGCAAATAAGCACCATGACAAGTCAAGAGAAAGACTACAAAAGAAGGAAAAAGCTTATGTCTACCATTTTGTGTGTGTAATAAAATATACATAAAATTTACCATTTTAACTATTTTTGGGTGTGCTGTGGTACTTAGCCAACCCTCTGTATCCTTCAGTTCCACATCCCTGGGTTCCACATCCATGGAGTCAACCAACCATGGATCTAAATATTCAGGAAAAAGGCTGGTGTGGTGGCTCACACTTGTAATCCCAGCAGTTTGGGAGACCTAGGCAGGAGGATCACTTGAGGCCAGGAGTTCAAGACCAGCCTGGGCAACATAGTGAGACACTGTCTCAACCAAAAAAAAGAAAAAATATATTCAGGACAAAAAAAAGACTTAAGTTCCAAAAAGCAAGTCTTGAATTTGCAAGGTACCGAGTACTATGTTGAATTCATAAGAGTGATGTGTAGGCATTGTATTGGGTATCATAAGTAATCTAGAGATGATACAGGAGGATGTGCGTAGGTTATGTGCAAATACTACGCCATTTATTACCAGGGACTTGAGAATCCATGGATTTTGGTGTCCTTGATGAATCCTAGAACCAATCCCCCTCCAATACCGAAGGGCAACTGTACATTCACACTGTTGTGCAACCATCACCACCATCCATCTCCAGAACTTTTTTCATCTCCCCAAACTGAAACTGTACCCACTAAACAATAATTCCACATCCCTCCTCGCTCCAGTTCCTGACAACCACCATTTTCTTTTCTTTTGATTTTTTCAGACAGGGTCTTGCTCTGTCACCCAGGCTGGAGTATAGTGTCACGATCTTGGCTCACTGCAACCTCCCCCTCCTGGGTTCATGCGATTCTCCTGTCTCAGCTTCCCAAGTAGCTGGGACTACAGGCATGTGCCACCATGCCTGGCTAATTTTTGTATTTTTAATAGAGATGGGTTTTTGTCATGTTGGCCAGGCTGGTCTCGAACTCCTCACCTCAAGTGATCTGCCCGCCTCAGCCTCTCAAAGTGCTAGGATTACAGGCATGATGAATTCATAAGAGTGATGTGTAGGCACTGTATTGGGTATCATAAGTAATATGATACTAGCCACCATTCTATTTTCTGTCTCTATAAATTTGACTATTGTAGGCACCTCAGATTATATTTGTCTTTTTGTGGCTGGCTTTATGTGTACCTTTAAAAGCACATTTTTCCTGTCTTTTGATCAAGAGGTTGCGCATTTTCATTTTTGCACGGAGCCCCACAGATTATGTAGCCTGTCCTGCTGAGGCGTGCGCTTCTACTAGCCCTTCCGTTTTTGCTGCAGATATGTGACCTGTGTTTTGGGAATATATTATCTCTTGTTAGATTATGGGCTCCTTTAAGACAGCTGGGGGTTTAAATTTCCCAGTAACTCCTGAAGGCCTTGCAGAGTAGTAGGGCACCTCTAGCTGTTCCCTCCAGTTCCAAACTCATGGGGCTTGAGATGTACAGAGAGATTCCTCAATTCTCCATGCAAGAGTTTCGTTTTGCTTCTAGAGCACCGCTAAACTGGAAGGACAGAAAATCTTGCTGAGAATGAAGAATGCTCAAAATTCAGGATAATTGCATGAATAGTTAAAACTGCCTGGCAAAAGCTTTTTCTGCTCACTTTTCTGCATTCAGATTGTGAAAGAAAAATAGAATCTCGGGACCTCAAATTCAGTATGCCAAAGGGAAAGTTAAGTTTGGGAACTGAGTCATGCAAACAAAAAAGCAAAAACAAAACAAAAACAGCCTCTTGTTCCCAAACAGCTGTAATTTCACATGCTTACCTTATCTTATAAAAAATGTAGATTGACTGAGCATGAGACTAATGCATAATTGATTTTTCCTCTACCCTTTCCTTTTCACATGTAAAACATAGACTCACTGAACTCTAACCAGAGCCTCACAAGAATGTAACCACTTGCCTCATTGTCTACCCACCCTCCTTTTTTTCTTTCTTCCCCTCCTGCTTGCCCTTTCCTCTGTGAAAGGAAAATAAAAACTTGGGATGCTAATTTCACTATGCCAAAAGAAAAATATTAAGCTGAAAGCTGAATTATCCAAGAAGCTACTTTTCCTTTTGTTCCTAAGCAGGTAGCTACCGGAAAAAAGTTATCTCCACAGAGCTACTCTATGTTCACCTTAGCTTCTGTAAAGAGGAATATATAATTGACTGTCCCCTACCTGCTCCTTTTCTCTTGCAACATGTGAATTCAGTCATGTGACCATACCCTCCGTCTTTCCCCTCCAGCCTGCTTTTCCTGCTTTGAAATACTGAAGCCCTCAAAAACATCTTTGGAGAAAGGCACAGACCTCTCTCCCAAGTGCACATCCTTAATGATGGTAACGTAAATTTCTAAATT